CTAGGATCTTTAAGTTTTTTAGGAAGCTTCTTCTGAATCATAGCACCACACTACTCACTAAGTGCAAAAGTTTCATTATCTTCAAACTTCATTTTTCTGTTAAGAATATCCTTCATAAACTTTACATAGAACTTTACATAGCTTGAACTTTACATAGCTTGAAATTTGTTCTAAGGCTTCGGCAAATGGAATATTAATTATAAGCTTCTTAAAAATCTTCAGAAATTTTGAAAATTACTTATCCAACTTCCGTTGACGAAGTCTCTGAGGAAATAGAGGTAGTCATTTTTCTAAGTCAATTTTAAGTGGAGAAATAGGTCTTTCAGAATCTTTTGGAGCGTCCTCTTTTAATTCTTCAATTTATTCTCTCTCTACTTTAGTTTCTTTTTGAATCCTACCTTCCAACTCTCTTTCGCTTCTAAGTTGAATAGTTTTTACTTGCTCTTTATTCTGGTCTTTCGGATTTGTTTCAGTATTACTATGAAGTGTTTTTTAGGATCTATTACTTAATGAATTTGTGATTTGTCCAAGTTGATTCTCAATATTTCTAATTGTAGCTCCTTGACTTTGTAACTGATTTTCTATTTGCAACACCACTTCTTCTATAAATAACTTATTCTCTTAAATTGTGTATTACTGTTAAAACCTAGAGGATAAGTAGATCTATAATTATTATTCCCTTGGTTGTTTCATTTTCTCAATGAGTTTCCTTGATTGTTCCCCCATTGCAGATTATTACTACACGTAGTATTATTCTAGTTAAAATTGTGATGGTTCTTCTAACCCGGGTTATAATAATTTGAATATGGGTTATTCTGCTTGTTATTTATATCATTCAAAATTTTTAATGATATTTCTAATGATGTTTGAGAATCTACCATTTGGCCTAATAAATTCTCTTTAACCATGGAAAGTGGTTGAGAAAAATTCATTCCAAATTGGTCTAGCTTCTTTGAAATTACAACAACTTGATTTGCTAACACAGTAAATGCTTCAGATTCATGAATATTGGCTACTTTCTTTGAATTCACCCTCTCAGAAGGTCCCCTCTCAGAAGGTTCTCAGAAGGTCATTGAAAATTATTGGTAGCCTTTTCTTCAATTAAAGCATAACCATCATGAAATGATTTTGACATCAATGAACCACCAACAACGACATCGAGAATAGATCTAAGAGATCCAACTAATCCATTATAAAAAGTTTGAATTATTAACCAATCTGGTATAACATGGTGTGTATACATTCTTAAGAGTTCTTTAAATCATTCTCATGCATGGTGTAGACACTTTCTTAAGAGTTCTTTAAATCGTTCACATGTTTTATAAATAGATTTCCCTTCAAACTGATTAAAAGATGTAATATCATTTCTAAGTTTTGCAGTTTTTTATGGTGGAAAATATTTAGCAAGGAATTTTTGTGCTAAATCACCCAAGTTCTGATAGATCCAGGTGCTAACGAATTCAACCATATCTTAGCTTTATCTCTCAGTAAGAAAAGAAATAACCTAAGTCTTATGACATCATTTGATACACCATCATATTTAAATGTAGCGCACAACTCTAAAAAATTGTTAAGATTGGCAAGATGTAAATTTGGATCTTCAGTTGGTAATCCCCCAAACTGATTATTTAATATCATTTGGATATCAGCAGATTTAAGCTCAAATGAATTAGCCACTATAGTAAGTTTTTGAATACTACAATAAAGTTCATCTACAGTAGGGTTGACATAATCTCTTAAAGGTCTAAACTCTTGATGAATTTCAACATTTTGATCATTTTAGTTTGCCATTTTTGTAATTTTTTTAGATTTTTCAAAATTTTTGATTTTTTTTATTTTTCTAATTTTTTTAACAGTTCTTTCTAATTCAGAATCGTTGGGCACTAGTACTTCAGAACCTGAACTATACATACACTAACCTAAGATAAAAATAAAATAAAACACAATATCAAAAACAATAATTGTTAAAATTTAAACAAGACTTTCTAAAAAAAGAAAATTGCTTTTAAATCAATTAATTTTCTCGGCAACGACGCCAAAAACTTGATCCCGACTAACCACTTATATGCAACAGTATAACAACATCTCTGATTATATTTTTACTTATATTTCCTTACTTTGAAACATAATGAAAAACCTGATTCAGAAGAAAATAAGAATTTAACTCTTTAATTCATATATATATATATTGGATATTACGCAAGTATGCGTATCGTTATCAAGTAATATAGGACTTGTTGATTAAGACCTGATGATTAAGACCTGAATATTTTAAGACCTGAATATTGAACCCATAGGGAAATTATGCAATATGCACTATTGAACAAAATATTTTCTATTTTAAAAAGACAATTACTTAAACCAGAGATGTATTCGCATTAATTAAAATTCAAATCTTTTCGGTATTTTTGATATTTTAATAAAACAGTAATAATTTAAAAAGATAACTTGAGTTTATGTAAAAAAGAAGCATTAAATTTGAAAATATATTTCTCTTTATCATGAATCAGTAATAAACATAGAAATTCTGTTGTGGTAGTATGCAAATTGTGTTGTGCCAAATAGGAGCCATTATTTTCTTTACCCTTACTAGAGATGCTATAAAGAACATTGACTAATTTAAAGTTTGAATAATTCTGAAGACCGGCTAGGCAGGGAAGATACCAGCTCTCACTCTAGAGTTCCCTTGATTCCCTCCACATGGGGGCTAACATCTCATAACAAAACCTAAAACAATAAACCAAGTTGGGGGCTTTAATTTGTCACTTTAAAGTCCTCTAACTCTACACCCTTCAAATATTATTTTCCGATTTATTTGCATTAAATCATATAAATAAATTCTCATTCATACAACCTCATATGATTCTTTCTAATTGTTGACTGAGATACCAGCCCGGTTCTTACATGTTCTCACAACAAATTTTAACTTCTGGATAAGCCAAATCAAGAAGTAAATGAAGTTCATAGATTTAAATCATCACAACTTCTTCTAACATTAAAGATCAATACCTCCACAACTTCCATCCAACACTTAATTTCTTATCCTTATAAAGAAAACTACTCAGAATCCATGGAGAAAACAAAATCACACTTTAGTTTAAAAGTAAAAATCATTGTCGAACCAACAAGAAATCTCAATTAAAACCAAAAGTATCATAAAAATAAAGATAAAAACTTATCTCAAATCCTCCACCAAACTCTTGTAGTTCTTTTGAATCTCTTCTATTTTACAACACTCTTGACTCTCACAATAAAATTAAAAACAAAAAGGATAAAGTAAATTTGTGTGGTGCTTGAAAATCTCTCCAAAACTCTCTCCTTTCCAACACTTTTCAGAACTTTCAAGCACACTTCAAAAAGTTTCAACTTTCTTCTTTTATAAATCTCCAAAAGGTGTCTTGATAACTCTTCAAAATGTGTCGCAATTCGATGTATTCTCCAAAGAATGTCTCCTTTCATAAGTCTTTTAATAATATTTTTATTTCTAGTGGTCATAACCATAGCCAATATGTGCCTCACATACCTCTTCAAAATTCAACCAAATGAAGAAAACCGCCAAATAACTGCCTCTGGCGCTTAAGCGTGGCCTTCTCTGTTTAACTAGCGCTTAAGCATCAGATCTGGCGCTTATGTGCCAAAATACTTTAACAAAATTTTCACCTCTTTGCTCCAAATTTGATCATTTTTCACTCATTTTAACATTTATCATATTTTTACTTGTATCTGAAAGAAAAACACACAAATATCTTTCATTAAAGCGCAATATCTCAAAAATAGGTATAAAAATGCGTCTAAAAATGCTATATATTTTAGATGTATCAATAAACATAACTAGTATATCTTATATTTTTGTTACAATAAAATTCACCCAAAATTAAATTATGGCTTCATAATGTCAACTTCAAAGATACGAGCAGCACTAATGATTTGACCAATCCACTAATTAAATACATCCACTATGGTTTTTTATCATGCATTGGGCTTACATGGATGGATAACTTAATCTTCCTTTATTTCTCACATAGTTCTAATTTTGATTATAAACCATCATTTTTTATTTTCAAAATCATAAAAAATATTTTTTTTCCTAAAATTGTGATGTCCTCCTAAGAAATCTCACATTCAACCAACAAGAAAATTATGATTAATAAACATTTAATGCCAACAAACATCAAGAAAGAATTGTTTTATCAAAAATACTAATAGAGCATTAAAGCTAATGAGGCCTACAAGTCTTATGGCTCATCCTACCAAAATTCCAAGTTCTTACCCATCTAACAAGATAATTCACATTCCTTCTCTATACTGTGTGGTTTGGAGCACCTTTAAATTTTCATCTCAGGCTTGAATAAAAGAGAGCAAGATAGAATAAATCTAACTATGCCTAGAGTTACTCTTCCAGAGTATGCCATTTCTTCAAAGGAGGGATTTAGTTGCTGAACTCTCCATAAAATAATTTGAAGTAATTCCTAAAGATCAAAACAAGAGAGAGAGAGAGAGAGAGAGAGAGAGAAGTGAAAAAAAAAAAAAAGAAATTTTTCCTTCATATGTGAACGATGGTCATGTCTGAGCCAACATATCTGCAACTTAATATTCCTCAAGAGGCCCAAGTGGCAAACAAATGTAGGAACCCATCCAAACAAGTCAATTCCTCACTCAAAAAATCACTTTGGCATCCCATAAAAAAAATATCCAAAAGAGAACGAATCAAAATCTTATCTTCCATGTCATGTAGGATAAGAGATTTCCCCAAACAGTGAATCTGCATATATATAAGGCGTGTAACCCATGTGTTATATAAATCTTTCAAAATATTCCAAATATTCCAACCTTCGTATTTGTCCTTGTCCGTTTATATCACTTCTCTATATTCATGTTAAAGATCTTCTTCAATATCACTTTGAGAGCATAACATATAGTTACAATTCCGTGTCAGAGATATTCTTCTTTTAATTATAAATAGCAAGTTACCGTTACAACCACAATGCATACAAATCAAATTGTGTCTGAAATGGAGAAAGTGAACAGCTTGGTCTCGCAAAAGCCAGTGGTTATCTTCAGCTTAAGTTCCTGCTGCATGTGTCATACTGTAAAAAGTCTCTTCTTCGATCTAGGCGTTAATGTCGATGTGCATGAGCTTGACGAGGAGCCAGAGGGAAGGGAGATGCAGAGAGCTCTTAGTAAGCTTATTGGACGTAATTGTCCTGTTCCTGTGGTGTTTATTGGAGGAAGATTGATAGGATCTACAGATAGAGTAATGTCTCTTCATCTTGGTGGCAGTCTGGTGCAGCTGCTCAGGGAAGCAGGTGGTCTTTGGCTGTAGCTTTTCCCTAACTACATCTTAAGTTAATCTATGTAATGATCTTAAATTTGAGTTGGGCAATGAATCTGCTTTAAATTTGCAATATTTGATGGTTGTTATGTGTAAGATGTTACATGCAAATAATATATTAAGAAAAGTTGAACCAACATTAATGATAATATTTAATGAGAAGAATTTGAAATGTGCTTAGAAATTCTTTAGATTGTATGAAAAAGGAAATAATTTAGAAATGAAGACTTGAGTATAAACTTTAAATAAGACAATTTTACATGTTTGCTATCATATTACTTGAAACAAAATTGGTTGTAAATGTTTTAATTGTTGTTTTCCATAAATGCAAATCTATTTAAATGTATGTGTTATAGCTTGGAGACTTATCATAAGAATCATTTTTTTGTCTGTAAATAAAATGTGGTTAAGTAATAAAGTTTTTTTTTTTATTTATTTCTGATGTGAAAAAAAAAAAAAAAACTATTTTTAGAGTGCTTTGTGAAGATTTATGGAGTTTGGAAGTTAATGTTGGTGTCTCCTGCATCTGAGTAAAAGAGAAATTTAATAAGCTGTGTAGGCTTTTTTCAGAAATGTTTTATCTGTACAAATACAAATTTTGATGTAGGAGAGATTCGATGCTAGAATCATGGCAACAGCTTCAAGATTTTTATCAACAAAACTAAAAGGTACCCTTTGCTATGCTATTTTGGGGCATTTACATACATACATTTCTATGTATTTACATATATATCATCAAAATTTTACTTTTTACACTTAGAACATCAAATTCTTCTTATCATATAAAAAATATCACTTTTTTACTTTAATATATATATATATATATTGTATGTATCTATATGTATGTGACAATGTTATATATAACCTGAATTCATACTTTGAAATCGTTTTTTTTTTCAAAATAAGAAGAAAAATTAAAAGTTGAAGTCGATAATGTAACTGAAGGAATATGGAAAAGAAGAAAATAAGTACTTTTTCTTTGTTAGTTATATCATTAACATATTTCATAAGTTTTATTCTTAGTTTATAGTAAATTTTAAACTATTTTTCTGTAAAAAAAAAAGGAAGAAATTTAGGCCATGAAACACGCCCATGTGAGGCTTCAATTCTCAAAGAATCAAATTCTCGACTTGTGCTAATGGAATCCTATATGTTTACTTGTTTTTTAGGTTGTAGTCAAATCATGGCACCTTGATTATAATATATTTATTTATTTATTTATTTATTTTTATTAAAAGAGCAGCTCGTGGCTCCTTACACGTTAAAAGTTAAAAAAAAAGGTACAAAAATGAGGAGGGATAGTAAAACCCCGACTAGTAACAAAACAAAAATATCAAAACCTAGGGGTTCCACTGTCCACATTACAACACCACGCAAAAAACTTAAAATACATGTGTAGACCCTAAAAGTATACCAATGAAAGAAGTATACCCAAAATATACATATATATCAAAATATGCATGTATACCAAACTCCATCGGTAATGATTATTCTTGGCATTCCATAAAAGTAAAAATCCGAAAGAGCTAACTCGAAGATATGTCCAGCAACTCCTGCCAAAACATGCAAAATGATCGAGGTCAGCATCGATAATATTCAAGTAATATTGGGCATGAAAATGTAGTCCAATCTCTATTTACAGCTCCAAAAAAAAAAAATTTTCCATCTTCCATGGAATAACCATAAGTGGGCAGTACAGACATCAAGCATATGAGTTCCACATCTCCAGATATCTGTAAGAGAACTCCCTATCAAAATAGTTAATAACAATATAGCAGGTAACTAACAATAATTATGCATTAATAGTATATGGCCACAAGGAGAAATCATCCAGTCACCAAAGAAGTGCAGAGCCCCAAGATCCGTAACGATGAGAGACCTCCCATCCAAAGACAAAAGAGTGATCAGCAGTGTGATCCAAAGCTCAGTGCAAATAATAAGATGGCCCCCGAAACATAAGCCAAGCCAAAGCATTCTACCAGTGAGCCCGCATAAAAACAGAAAAAAGAGACAAAGAAGAAGTAGAAAAATTAAAATATGTGTAGCAATGATATCTTGCATCCAACTGTAAATATCAGTCCCAAATAAACTCCAAATTACCCAAGCTACGAATCAAGCATTGCTCATACCAAGGAAAATGGCCACTGCCAAGCCTAAAGTCCATGCAAAATAAACTCCAACATAAATTGAAGTCACAGAAAACATGCAAAGAAACCACCTCAACACCAAAATCCTTCCAAGCATCAACCTCAGCACCAAAATCCTTCCAAGCATCAATCATGATACATTCTTCCCAACTGTGCAAAGAAAATGGAGACCTTAAAAAACCATAATCATGCCCATGTGACTCTACCAAAAAATACACCATAAGCTTAACAAAATAAGCCCAAATAAAATACAAATAATGAGAGCCACCATAAGGCAACCTTGTATCGTATGTCGCAAGCCACATCAACAAGTAAATAATATAAATAATATGTAGTACTAAGAGCCACCACAACAAGTAATGACAATCTGTGACCATAATTCAAAGCCCCAATTAGTACCGCAAGGGTAAAAGCAAGCTTTACATTCAAATCTGTTCACAATATAGCTTATCAGTATGAATTTTGCTGCAGTTACCAAATTCATAACCCAGCAAATTCATAACCCAGCCTGTGGAGCATAGTCTCCATAGACAAAATATGTAGCAGTCCTGCCCGTGAGCCCAAAAAATGCAACCCACATAAAGTAAACTATTGGTGCAGCTAACACCAATCATACCAAGCTCCAAAATATAATCAGTGAGCACATACTTGATAGTGTGTAATAAAAAAAGATAGCCAAAAGTATGACTAAAAGCCCCAAACCAGCTAATAGAGACAACGGGGTTCTTCCTTATAGGCACAAAACCAAGAAGCCAAAGTCCAGAGCACAGATAATACCAGCGCTAGGCTCCCATAATCTTAATCATAAGGAGAAATAAAATACCTTCCAACTTTAAAACCCAAAGGAGAAGGCCCAATAGAATGTTGAGATCCATAACCTGAGAAAAAAAAGACAGACCCGAAAAATCCACAAATGTGTCAAATAATAGGACTAACTTCTCAAAATCAAACAAAAGAAACCTCCAAATCATTTTTAATAAGGTTATGCAAGAAAGAAGGAGGAGTGTTACCAACAACAACATTTTGCAATCTCCATTTGGCCAACCAATCCGCAGATTTATTCCCTTCTCTATAAGTAAAAGTAAAAATAATATTCAATTGATACCTCTCAATAGTTAATCTGATTCTGTTCAGCAAGGCAATGATATACCACGGAGGATTAATATTAGATAAAAGAATGTTAAACAAAAGTTCTGAATTAGTTTCCACCACAATACCCTTTAAATTTAAAGATGTAACCAAGTGAAGAGCAGCAAGCACAATAGCAGTTTCAACCTCTAGTGCAGAGTTAACAATGCAAGGTGATGTAAAATAAGCTATACATTTCCCATAGGCATCTCTTAAAATCCCTCCCATACCCGTATGAGCATTGAAAAAGCTCCCATCAACATTAATCTTATACCAACCATGGGGGGGTGGTGCTCATTTGATCAAAATGGGTTTCCTACTCTTATCCCCAATAATTGAAGAAGCATCGAGTCCAAAGGAGGATTTCCATGCCTTTTTAAAATAAGCAACCACAAAGATGGCAGTGGTAGAGGGTTTGTGACCCGTATCTTCGTATTTATGACTGTTTCTTGCCATCCAAATGAACCATAAAATAATAACAGGAAATAACAGGAAAACAACAGGAAAACATAATTGCTTTTTGAAGGAGGGATCAAAACCTTTCCAAGTCTCAATAGCAGATTTAAAATTCAGATTAGTAGGCCAATGGATCCCAAAATAGCATCCAATATGATTCCAAACCTCTTTAGCATAAGGGCACTCAAATACACTCAAATAACATATGATTCAAAGATTCAACATCTTTTTTGCAGTTGTAACAGTAGAAGGCAAGTTTTAGCCCATTTAACTTCAGAATATCATCAAGAGGAAGTAACTTGTGAAAGTATCTCAAAAGGAAAAATGATATAGAAGGAGAAATAAGTTTATGCCAAATATGAACATGTCATTTCCATGGATTAAAAGAATAAAGATTAGAATAAAGCCATTTAGAAACTGAAGTACTAGTATGATTCTTTCATAAAGGAAGATCTTTATTGTTTAATTTAACAGGAAATCTAGCTGTGGTAGGAGCAACTTCACCAGTTAAAGAGTTCAACATATCAAGATTCCATTCACCGATATATGTTGACACACACTAGTAAAACCTTATTAGTTCGGCTCTTCAACATAGAAGGGATTGGAAACTAAGGTATTGGGTGTATTCCTATGAAAAAAATTAAATGTGTATGCTAAAAATCAATTTTCATTGGCCAGAGTTAACATTCAACAAGCATCATGGGTGGGTCTAGGTTAGCTCAAGTGTCTAGAATATTGTAGTAGAAATTTAGCTTATTACCAATAGTTAAATGTCGTCAGTCATAATTAGTAACTTCTAGGTAATATGCTTACCGACGATTTAGATACGATTTATTCATCACAGCAAAAATGATTGTTCATAATAAAAGTAACCGGCTATTCATCTATGTATTTATATTAATCGAAGATTATCCGATGTGCCTGATCGTCACTAGTGATCCAAAAAAGTATGTCATGTTTAACCTTAGTCTGACCCTCAGTTACATTATCCATAGACAAAATGGTGCATTTCTGTCAGAAAATTGTCGTGCTTCCTTCGATAAAGTAAAACACCACTTTCAGTTAATCATGAAAATTACCGATGGTTTTGATCCATAATAAAAATGCAACACTCTATTTAGACGACACTTGTTCGATAGCCGTCAGTAAACCTTTGACACATAATCAAAGAGTAGTAAAATTGTTATTAAGCCATAAAAATATGTAGCATCGGAGAAAGAATTTAAAGCCCTCCTTCAACACTACAATTTACTCACCAACAATCGTAACAATACATTCAACACACATCACAACAAACTATTGAAATTAATTAACTAATAAATACAAAAATAAAAGAAAAAAATTGCAATAAACTAAATGAAATGAGCAATTGTCCAATAAAAATAATGTTCGCAGCCA